GGAATCCCCGCTCAAAAATTCCGGTATTTTGTGAAGGATTACGTCAAACGGTCCTTGTTCCGATACACTAATACACGGATTGATCTACGTTTTCACTTTTTAGACAAAAAATTGGCAAAAAAACCTTTCTAAATAGAAGATCACTTCTGCGCTAACTCAGATCATACACTAAATAGCCATTTACCTCTTCTCGCGTAAAAGAGTATTAAGCCCGATGCTGTCTACTTTAGAATCACTCATCCAGACACCAACGACCTTCATTTCAAAATACCTCACAGCTAAGACCTAGTCCGCATTGGGTGTAGGACTTCTCTAATGTCACAAACAAAGTTAAGTCCAATATCCAATAACATTATTACAAACTAGCGCCAATCAAACAGGTTTTTATAGCTCATCGCATTACGAACGGAAAGTTTCATCTAAACATGATTTCGTTTCTCGAGCTTTCATTGTATTCTTACTCAACAAGAGTACTATTTTCTTCCAACGAATCCATCCTGAGCTTAACGTTCGGTAGATTCTCTTTCTTTTTGAGTTTTACCTAAGTAAATAGTTGAATGTGATCCTGCCTCAGCTTAATACCCGGTTTTTCAGCCTTTCACGTCAAAGTTAGTTTTAGTGTATCCTAGCCTTTTGTATCACTTTTTTGTTATCCAATTTATCCGTTGTGAGTGTATTATTCCTTTTGTTTAACGGTCGTAAACTTTTGCTTAGATCTATCAAAGAAGTCGTATCACCACAATAATGTATAATTCATGCAAGCGATCCGGACGCTGTTTTGCTGTAACTTCTGGCAAACAGTGTGACAAATGCAAATGTTTCCACGAAGCATGTACAGATCATGAAGTAACTGCTTACAACGGAATTGGTAAGTCGGATCGTAGGTGAGTATATGACACGTGGAATATGAATACTGAGGATTTGCTGAGCAACATCATTCTCCCGACAGGTCTGCTGAAAACGTTGTCAGCAAACATGAAGAAAGGTATGCCTTAAACGGGCAAACGAAGCCGCTCAGTGAGGAAATGAACAGGGACCTCAACAATTTTAGTATCGAAAGGACGTGCATCGATACTAGTAAGGACACGCTGAGACTCAGCACTGTCATAACTTCTATGGCACTAGGCTCCCTCAGAAACTTGCGTCTACCAGTATAAGATCCCCAAATGCAATGGTGGTCCCTAAAAACTCTGTAGGCGACTGAAACACCGCCAACAAAGTTAAAAAGGATAGGGTGTCACCGTCCAAGAAGCAGAACATCTCAGGAGGTGTGATGTAATCGACTGGTGATTTGACTGTACAGTTTACCGCTAACATAATTCAACCAGTCAGCAAGAAGCACGAGAATGTGAGACGCATTTCAACTACCAAATAAAACTGTCCTCAACCTGAACGTATCCAAAAACCTGGGATAATGACCACGTTTCGCGGTTATTCTGTCACAGGCATGAAAGTAAAGACAGTCCTGACTTTCATCCCACTCTGCAGGACAAAAATGACAAGATGCTCTTTGGAAATTTAAGTAGTTAGCTCAAACTTCCCAAAATAGAGCCTCTAACGGTTACACGGCTCACTCAGTTGAACGACTACAGGCGCTGAAACCTCCCAAGATTCCTTCGTGTAGCGTTCACTAACACTGAAGACGAAGAGGATGTTCTGCTGACTAAACATTTTCTATAATCAGACGGGGACGAATGAATATTGCCTGCTATGCCGTACTCTGAGCCCAATCTCATCAAGAACATTCTTAAGGAATCGCACAAGATGTTTATTGCGGAAGAAATATATCTGTGCATTATGTGCCATGAAACACGGACCCTGACCAAATAGTCTCTGATATTAGAGAGTTAAAATTCATCAAGCTGTCCTTGAGGCTGAAAAACATTAAATCAACAAGTGGTAAGACCAGCCAATAGGAACGGGGATTCTAGACATAGGCTGATAAAGATGACCTTCATATCTTATCATATGGCGCCTGCAACCCTCGAAGTATTTCGTGTCAACAGACGCCGGTTGCCAACTGGAACCCATATGTATTCGGAAAAACTCATGATGTTAGCGAGTTAGAGCTGACTATTCCACTTGTGGACCGTCAAGACCATGAAAGAACGTAAAAAGGACAAAGGTTACCAACTCGAAAAACTTGTGTAGGTGGGTTACCTGTCCATTCACATAATGCTCATACATGTAAATGGGATATGTAAGATCATACGTTTCAAGTTTAAAGCATAAACTGCTAATATATGAACGCCACGAGTTTATCGATAAAAGGATAAGCTTCATGAACTCAGTAATACTAACAATGCTCATGTGATAAGAATATCTGAAACATGGATATCTTCCCAATACACAGACTAGTAGCTAGTAACACCCGGGATGTCTTTACTTCGCAACGACAGAAAAACATGAATGTAACGTTGAGTATACTTTTATTTGCAACCCTGATTGGAAATACATCAAGTGCACAACCACAAGTTTATCAATCTTCATGAATCTGCGTGGCGCTCAGTAAGATTGTCAACCACCTCGAGGTGTCTGATCGGAGTCATCTACAGGAAGCTCACTACTAACATGGAGTACGACAGTCATATGCTGGAAGTACTGCCCCGTCCTACTCGACCCAGATTCACTCATATTCTGATTCTAGGGGAACAGCACTTCTAAAGTCAATTTCGTGAAACTTAAGTACATTGGAAGTGACAACTCTACTGAGGCTTGATTCTTCGAAAGTGTCACGTCAGCGACTCGTTGGAGAAACAGTCATGCGCTGTCAAGCGTAGACTGCGTATCTACAAACGAAAAATTTGTAGTTGACAACTCACTTCTGATTCTCCTAGGGGAAAGCGATCAAGCTCTCAGCCTTCAGCTTTATCAGAAAAACTGAGTGAAGACATCCTACCGTCAACAAGCGCTGGACGTTCAAACGGTCAGATGTGTCAGCTTAACGGGACAATTTACAACCGGCGAACATAGCAACCTGTTATACATCACTGGTGAAATGACGAAAGTTTGTTGCTTTTTCGCAAACCCAATGATTGGATTTTCGTTGTTGCAGATGTTTCTATGTCAATTATTGGTATAGACCTGCAACAATACCGTAATCTATTCGACAACATGAGCAAATGGAGGTTATTAGGCGTTAGTGCTTAAATGTCCTTTTGCGTGACTTTTTCCGGTTTTAGATTACCACCCAGTCACATTAACTCACATGATCTATCAATACTATCAGCAAATACTCGTCATGTCTCTCGATCTACATCAAATGCGACAGGAATTACCATGTGTAATCAGCTATGTTACACATCACAACACGACCACAGGACCACCTGTATTTCCAGAATTAGCATTCTGCAAAATTCGGGTAATAAATCTAGACTTGCGAAAACTAGTAAATGAAATTTTGAGCTGCTCAGTCCATCATTGAAAAACCAAAGCATATATCGTGCAGATACAGCTATAAAAGTTAAAAATATTCCGCGGACTTCATTAAAGCTGTCAGCTAAACCGCTCATGCTTCATAAAGGTCCACCACACATTATCTTAAATAGCAAGTGAAAAATTAGGTGTGATACAAACACATTCGGTTATTCAATAAAGTGAAATATGTAGACTTTACTTCTTTGAGAACGGTATTTTTTTATTGAATTCTCGGATCGATCTAAGTTAGACAATCATCGGAAACCTGGAGGCACTAGATGGCTGTGTCGTCCTGGTATGTAGGTTCTCTATAAGACACATTAGCCACGGCTTTGCGATTTCAACAAAATTTAACAATCTCCACAACCTCATACTGACATTTATCATGCACTCCAAAGTGCTTAGCTTCAAAAAGACTATCAGATTTCTAGTGAGAAGCCGTGGTCTATGAAGCCAAACTGTGTCAGTTGTGGAGACTGTACCTACCGAAGACAATGAAGATGGTAGTTCACTATTATAGATTGAGTATAGACTGCACACAGTTGAATCTCTGCTCACTGGTTTAGAGTTTAAGCGTTTGTGCACTAGACTAGTTTTGTTTTCGATTCTTAATCGTGGTGTGGTAGACGCGCTTTGGTGAGGAGTACCATGCTAGGAAGAAGAGGCTATACAGTGCTCCTTGGTTCACAGTGGTGTTCCAGTTCAGATCAGTACGTGATTGTAATGAGATTCGACCTCCGAAAAACCACACTAACATCCGCATTTCTTACCTTTATATATTGTAGTTAAATGTCTCAAACACTATATTTAAATCTATCGAACATTTTTTTCTGATTGTTCGGCTCACTCAGTATAGACTTGCTGTCATTCCAAAATTCGTTAATCTCCGATCAAAAGTAACTAGGAGTAGTAGCTCTTCTCAAAATCTTTCCGAAACTCAGTTAAGCAGAATCTAAATGATACAAACTGGAGGGTTTGAACAATCTGAGTTTGAGTAAACTTGCAAGTATTGAGAAGTATCGACCATACTGTCCAGTACACCTCACTGCCTAAACGAAATGTTGGAGGTTCGTTATGGAGCACAAACCAGTTTTATACAAGTACACTCGATCCGGCTAATGTCTGATATGGCAATGTCTGGGCAAAGAACTGTCCAGTAGAAGAAATAGATGACCTGATAGCATAATAACAGTAAAATATTCAAGTTATAAGACCAAAACGCTGTATTTGAAAAAAAACTTGAGATTCACAAGCAGATAATCGATTAGTCGCCAGTCAAAGGGAGGAAGAACGGGCACAATCACATATTTCTCACTGCTGGTCTATCTTATTTGAAATATTTTTGCAGCTGGTTGAGATCCTTGCTCCTTTACGACTTTACTTACTCAAGAAATACGAATTAGCTTAAACTCAAAATATATCGATATCCAAATATCTACCGGATTCACTAAAAATATTAGAGACGAGTAACTGAACTACTCTTGTTGTACACACACCTAGATATGAATACATCCTGTCACATCAAGATAAGCTTTGAAGAAATGCCTTTGGTTTATCTTGCGAAATCTCAGAGGCATTGGATATTTCGGAGCGCCTAATGCAAACGTGTGGCCTTGCGGCAGTTTAAATGGACAAGGAGGGTCCTTCATGGAAAGATGCTATACTTACATCCCTGCTTGAACGTGATATTATTGAGAAGTCATTTTTTACTGAAATTTTTACACAATGTTTGTTTAAATTCGCATTTATTTACAATTTCAGACGACTCAAATAAGGACATTGTGTTATACCTTAAGGGGGAAAACACTCGTCTTGTACGTGAATTAACACTATGCCAACAAGAGAAATCCTCAATACAGCTAGAACTTGAAAAGATGTATCCTTCTTTCCTTTGATATTAAGATTTTCCTTAGAAAGTCTGTCAAATCCTATGACTATGAGCAGAAGGTGTTTCATTTGCAAGAAGAGGTTACCGAATTGCATCGACAGAAAGGGAACGTAAGTTCAAAAGTATGTTTGCAAAACTGCTAGCTCGCGCAAAATGTTATTGATTTAAACAGAGTTCTTCAGGAGAAAGACACCTTGCTACAATCAAAGTCCTTGAAGTTGGTTTTACAGTTATATAAGCGAGCTGTTTAGGATTTCGGAGTTAGAGGACTGCCTTAAGGCTAATCAAGTGCAGAATCATCACTTGATGGAAAAGGTTAAGGGACTAGAGGAAACTAAAGAAGTGTGTTGTATTGGTGTTATGCAACGTGTGTTCTCAGTTGCTTACAGATGAACAGGCCTCACACTTAATGACCGCGAAGGCACTAGAAACAAAAAACAGGCAACTTGAGGATGATAATCTGCAACTTATGAAACGAATAAAAGCCCTCCAGTCCACTGTTGAAAGGTTGAAAAATATAGAGTATGATGTGCAGTATAGGTAAGTCTAAAATATTAAACATTTCGTAGAAAAACTCAAGAAACAATCCGCAAGAATCTTCAAGATGCAGTCAATTCGACTATATTCGTTACTGATAGGTTTAATTCTGTTGTTTCTTGTAACTTTTCAGTGATTGTTCGGACAAGCCACTACCCTGTAAATCTGCACTTCCGCGTAACGTTGCAGTCAAAATAGTAAGTTCTCTATCAACATTCTTGTGATTGTCGCTTCTAGGATGCTAATGAAAATGAAGTAAATAGTGTTCGGTTCACTCCATCAGGCCACATTTTCGGATCAGCAGGATTTGATCGTAAACTCCGATTATGGACATATCTAAATGGTATACATTTTTTAATTGTCCAGCGTAAAATTTTTCAATGTCAGAACGAAACCTTCTTGAATTAGAGGCGTTGTTGTATACTCTGCATTTACTTTGTTCTTGAGTGAATTTCGTATCACATGTGGTATAAAATTTGTAAAGTCGTACCATTCGTATAATTTATAGTAGAATATTTTATTGTGCAAATGTTTTCATACTTTTGCAATTGCTTATTTTTTGAAACTAGGAAAATGTGAAATCCATTCTACCCTTGTTGGTTGTAATGCTGCTGTCACTGCTATAGATTTTGACCCAAATGTGAGTTTCCCAATGTAACTGGGATGTTTTTTTTGAGTAAGTTTTATGTATACATCAAACGCATTTCCAGAGGAATTTATTCCTAGTTTCATTAAATCGGGCATTCAAAAATAGTCGCGGTCATGTTTTATGCATCGAAATCTGTGGGCCGTGTAAATACTTTAGATTATTATGTGCCATATAATCATTGTAGACCAACCACCATCGCGTTGTCAAATAAGTTCAGTGTTTTATTAATAATGGATCTACTCACCTGATTTTCTAATTCGCTTAAGTCTCAGTTTATTCTGCTTACATGGGTCTGACGAATGAACACGAGAACACCTCAAAGCCTAATAATTTTTGTCATTTCACGCTGTTTTAGTATGTCGTGCTTCGGTCTGGGCACCCGGACAGTATCACAGCCCACACACAAATCAAGTGACTTGTAAGACGTATATTTATTCTGGTACTCCTTTGTACCAATGTTTATGTGTTCAAATAAATAAAATATTCTAATTTATACCTCATAAGACGGATTATAAAAGAAAAACAAAAATAGCAGCTAACTATGCGAAATAAAGTCAACACAAAAAACGAGACAAAATGTGACATCGGTAAAGTAAATCATGGGGTAAGTAGTAACTGAATATTCACGTTACAAAGTACCAATCGTCACAACACCCGCTGAATCTCCGTGCGGCATATTCACCGTATTTAAGCAATGCTAAAGAAAACCTAATCTCTAAATTTACACACAATGATGTGTTTGACATTACGTTTGAACTCGAACACAATTAAAACATTCCCCATTTGACAGATTAAAACGTCCGTTCTCGCTCAACGTCAGTTAATTTTGTTTTTTCTACATTTGATAAATCGTCGCCAAGTGGTGTAGATCTGTTCGTCAGAGGTTTCTTTCTTGCTCAGCAACAAGTACTCAATTTGCAAAATAATGGCTGTAAAATGTTTCACACTACTCAATAAGTTTACATCCGTCTTACCGTTTGCTGCCTGTCTTTTTGTTCATCGGTTTTTATCTTTTAAGTTCTGGCTATTGTAGTTTGCGCATGTCAATATTATGTTATCGTCCATCCGGAGCTACTGGCTACACATCGAGGTATGTTTTTCATTAGAGCAGTCCTTAGAAAGAAATCAGTGTTCTTGCAAATACTTAGCGATAGTCCAACAAACCAGCGACTTTGAAGTTTTGGATCACAGACTGACTTTGGTCAGACAATTAATATAAAACTGAAAGCATTAGACAAGTGTTTCGTCCTGGTCTAGGACTCTTCACCGATTTACATCCAAAACTCTACCGAAACTCAAAGACAGGACTTACAACATTCTCGATGAGGGCCTGATCTTTAAATCATGTGACCCAGTAACCAGTCCGTTACCTGTAACTTCAAATTTTAAAATATCCACAAAACCCTACAGTGACCGTAGATTGTTAGTGTAGACCATAGGGGGCATGACAGTACATGATTTGGCTTTGCGCAACAGTATGACTTACCAGTCGAAATCTCTTAAAATTGATTTCGCTGGTGTAAATTCTTTTCTGCATGAATCTTTTGAGCGTTATTGGTCTGAACTCGTGGTTTCTCGATTCTTCATTCATCCCACTCTATTTAAGTAAAACTTTACTCTTCTTATCAAACTATCGCAGATTGTTAATGATCCTAATTTATATCTATTCATGTTGAAGCACTTCTTTTCTTTAGTCTAGTTATGCCTTTTAAGTATTATTAATTTTGCGCGACACTTTGCGTTACCTAGTATAAGTTCGCAGACGAAGAATGTTAAATATTTTTGTTTTCTTTCTTTCATCGTACTAACCCACTTTGTGTTTTGTCACTTACACTTTTTCCTGATTTATTTTAGGAAACTGCTGTTTTAGGTGCCTCAAGTGATTTTTCGTGTCGTGTATGGACACTAAATGATTCCAGACTTCGAGTCAATTTGACAGGACATTCTGAGCGTGTTATCTCTGCTAAATTTATGAGGTCTGCTAACCGCGTTGTCACTGCTTCATCAGACAGAACGATCAAGGTGATTTAAAGTGTTTAGTGTTATCACTGCAATCACTCTTTTCAAAAATAATTTTGATATTAGGTGTTGAATACTTGCTAGAATTCTTATTTTATGGATGATTTTGTTTTATGAACCTAAACAGGTTAAGATGCAATAATGACATAAATTCTCTGTTTGTTAGGCATCATCATGTATGTGTAGAATTATATGATGATGGATCCACATAACAGTGACCGTAGGTTGAAGCGTTTGAGCAAAATCGTTTAATAAAAATCGTACGAGACATTCCCAGTTTCTGAACTAGGTTAAAACAAGATTTTCTTTGAACTCACTAAAATGACATCAGCTGTATTTTGAAATTTGCCAAGAATACATTGTCAAGATAGGATTATTAAAATGGTATTTTGTTCAAATGTACATTCTATACCACATAGATTTTTATAATATAACACTTAAAAGCATGCTTAACTACTCATTACCCTTATCTAAAAGGTTGTGCAGCTTATACTTCGTTTTATGTAATAATGATTAAATTTCCTTCTGTAATCAATTGATTTTACTTTGGGTAATCTCAGATTTGGGACGTTGACAAGTGCTGTTGTAGGCGTACCATCATGGCTGCCTCCACAATCCAAGATGTAGTTGTTTGTCCCTCCATGTCTGCGCTTGTTACTGGCCATTTCGATCAGCATTTACGCATTTGGGATGAACGATCTGGGGAAAATACTGGCAAAATCTTGCTCTCCGGGCGTATTACTGGTATGGACATCTCCTCTGGTGAGTGTTTGACTTTTTCAATGATGACTTTTTAAATAATGTTTTGTAGTTTACAATCGATCAAGACTTTAATAAACGCAGTTGTCTCAACTTAGCTTAAACTAGCTGTAATTTTTTATCATGTATTTATACTCTTGTTATAACTCTCTGCTTTCTTACGGTTAATGACCCAGCTATTCCTATTGCTTAGTATTCTCGGACACCGATTCACTCGACAAGTCTCCAAATCAGAACACGGTTGAACAGGAAAAAGATTATATTCCAAATAGCAAGTCAGAAGCCAGTAGGAAGCACAATAGGGGAAAACGTCGGTATATTTATAGTTTTTACATAAGAAGATTCCAGAGTATTCTCCGACTATCGACTAGTGCTGATTGGATAAGAATCAGCCAATCAGCGTGCACCAAAGCAATCATGCATTGAGCATGCTTTAATCTAGTCTATGTCCCGCTAACAACTCTACACGAATCTGTATACTTTTTTGAGCTTACGCGATATAAAGTACAAAAATTCAGTACCGTATTTTCGAACGTCCATTTTGAATTACTTTATGGGTTAGAGATAATCTATCCCTGAGTCAATTTTCACACTAATCTTCATCCTGGATTTCTCGTTCCTGAAGCTTCAAATTAACCTTAAGTCCCTAAAATTACATTATGTCCCCGGTTTACGAGTAATAATCAATCCAAAGCCTGGGTCAATCAACCATAATTTGCAGAAAACGTCCACATTACAGTATATCACTATGTTATGTCGATCAGTAGAAATGTTACTAATAGATTTACTTTATGTACCTTAGAGGATAACAGTTCTTCATCATTCGATGAGCTTTTAATTAGATGATTTGTAAGTTCATAGAAGGTTTCAGCTAATACAAATGCACTGCTGTAGAGTTTCATACTAGAACGAAACGGTCATCCAGTGCTTCCAGGTTTTCAATGGTGGTCTAGCCTAGATTGACCCATGGATTCAACCGTTAAAATTAATAGAAATATCGTCAATTCTAACTAGTGCCCCCAAATGCCCTGGTATGGCCGAAAGTGGGGAGAGTCCGCTCTCCCTCTCGAAATGCTCTCATATGGCCACGCGTATTTAGCCTCTGTCAGGGAAGTCCTACTCATTGCCTTCTCGTGACAAGGGTGTTGTTTACAAAATTGAGAAGACGAAAAGCGAACGTCCGACACTTTAACTGGGTTGGCGGACATGGAGATTCCACCTAGGGAAGTTGGAAAACCCTGATTCCAAACTAATGGTGCCCATGGGCTCCAGTATCCTGAATGAACAAATGGCGTATAAACCAATCGTTGGTCACCGGCTACCATGAGAATGCATCTACTGAAGCTGCCCCACTGCCTTGTGGGTCAGACCTTTAGATCGAAAGCCATCTGGGGCCCATGGGCACCATTTGTCTGGAATCAGGGTTTCCAACTCCCCTAGGTGGACTCTCTGCGTCCACCAACCCAGTTAAAGCGACGGACATTCACTTTTCGTCCTCTGAATTTCGTAAACAACACCCCCTCCACGAGAAAACAGTGAGTGAGACTTCCCTAGGAGTGGCCGTATACGTGTGGCCATGTGAGAGCATCCGGATAGGAAGAGTTGACTCTCCCCACACTCGGTTGTACTAGGGCAGATAAATAAACAGATAGAGTGCCTACTCAGAGGGATTCACTGAAGCTTGAGCAAAAGTATCTGGAGTACCAAACACACCGTTTTATGTTTGCCGAAACAATTCACACAAGGTCAAATAAAGTCAAAAAGTCTTGGCTTCTCAGAATATGTATGTAAGTATATAAATAATAAATGTTTCTCCAACAAATAACAGTCAAAAATTAAGGAGGAAAAATATATTTGTGAAATCTCAAAGATTGAATTTTAAGCAAGTCCGACGTTTCTCTTGGCAATTTGGTTCAAGCTTGTTCAAGGAAATACAATCAAACCTCAAAATTTTGGACTATGAATAGGTACATGGTTCTCCGGTTAACTGTATATTAAACAGGCCATCCAATCATGTTAACAAAGTTGAAAGTATACATAAAATGAAGATAAATAAAACAAAATAAAAACAAATGAGTAAATGCTTGTGCTGTTATGCTACTTAGGTTAATTGTTTACCATATATTTAGATAAATCAACTAATTAGAACAGTTGAAAGTAATTGTTGTTGTCCAGATAATGAGTGGTAAATTAAATTAAATAAAGAGTTCAGGTCTACTTATTAAACATTAGTTGCCATGGAACAACTAATTACATTCCATCTTAATAATACTGTTTGGATTTGCCCACATGTGTATGGCTTTAGCTGTTAGTCTCTCTTTTTAAGACCTGAAAATTATTTTTAGGATCTTTATGCCAATGAAGCCAATTGTATGGCCCAACTCTACTAAGTGTTATGTTATCGCTGAGTTTTTTGAGATTTTTTAAAATATAATCTGAGGATTTAGAAATGTGCTTCAAGCAAAGTTTGTGTTTCTTCATCTCCACATTCAGTTTTCGTGGTCTCACCTACATATATAGAGTTGGGTCATATAATTGATTGGATGGCCTGTTTACTATACAGTTAACCGGAGAACCGTGTACCTATTCATAGTCCAAAATTTTGAGGTTTGATTGTATTTCCTTGAACAAGCTTGAACCAAATTGCTAAGAGAAACGTTGGACTTGCTTAAAGTTCAATCTCTGAGATTTCACAAATATATTTTTCGACTTGAATGTCTTACATTAACAATGAAACTATTCGTTCGAATTTAGACGAAATATCTTATGAATAATGGTTAGTTTGAATCAACTCCATATCCAAGGTAATGCATTTAATAAGAACAGTAAAATCTCAACTCATATGGGCACGAAAAATGCTCTTTCAGTGCGGTTGAATAGACAAAATATTTATCAAACTATTAGAAAGTTTACCATTGATTAAGTCAGTAAAGTATAAGTAAGGGGATAAATGTTCGTTACTCATAAGTAATATAGTTATAACTGTGAAGTAATAAGTAGATTCGTTTTGTCTAATTTGCATCACAATACTGATGAGTAAAATAACAATTCTAGACTCAGACATGATTTTATAGAGTCTCACATCAGGTCATAGCTTCCAGTTGACAAGCATTTAGCGGCTTCAGGCTGTTTTAAAAAAGAGGGACTTCCAAAACAGACATGCTGTTAATTTAAACAATGATTCTCGCTACGGCTAGCTTAATGTTAACCAATCAAAAATAAAGGGTTTATAGTCCTGTCTTTTATAAATCCTACACCGCTAAGTGTCTATTTCATGAATGTTATCCGCTAATGTAGGTTTTTATAGAGTTATTAAAAACCACGAGTCCGTTTAAAATTATTATCTTATCATGCAAGTAATATAGCGTCTAAAATATTAGCTTCGGCAATACTCCGACACTTAGCTAAGTCTCATGAAGAGCAGTCTAGTTTCAGACATGGATGTAGATAGACAGACCAAATATCCACCTCTTTTCAGGTCCTGTAACATAAACATTGTTTTCGACTTCCGGCTATAGTTGTATTCCTTGACCTGAAGAGGGCGTTCGACTCCGTTGGTTGTGATGTTCTGTGTTAGTGTCTGACATTGAAAGGCATGCCAACGAGTGACATCAACCTTGTACAGGCTCCCTAGTTAGACACTACTGGTCTGTCCAGAACTTACGGTCAACTGTCATCGGAATTGATAACCTTGGGTGGCTTTCGTTAAGACTATCTGCTTTTTCCATTTTTGTTCAACCTTGTTGTAGACGTCCTTTTAGAGACAATACTTTGATTGCCTGATTTCTGAGAAATCAATCTTCCACTTTGAGATTCTCTTGTTGATTTAGAATATGCAGATGACATAGTTGTGTTTAGTGAAGACGCTGACGAAATGCAGTCTTCTGATCACTCTAATCAGTAATGCAAGCATGTTTAGGATGCGATTCTCTCTTTTTTTTCTCTCTCTCTCTCTAAATGCAAGTGTTGTTCCAGGACTGGTATGGGTAGGTGCTTGAATTAGTGGTAGGGAGCGAAATAGTTGATCTTATATATGTATGCGGCATATACTTGGTCACTGCGAAGCAGGAAAACGACTGAACTCACTTTCTGTCTTTTGAACTTTGGATTTTTCTCATAATTCATGTTTCGACATTTAGAATAGATAACTCTTGACTAATGACGGACTTGTAATTTCACTTCTCTTTTTGAGTCTGATCAGCACTGATGGATGAGCGTCTTACGAAAGCTCAATTGGCTTTTTATGACTTACATCGGAGAGATGTCCACCTGCCCACCAGAGGACGAATACACTGCGCAATAGTTTGCTCCATTGGTACTTTGTGGCTGTAAAACATGGCCATCAAAAGTAGAGAATATTTGTAGGTTAGGGTTAGGCATGTTTTGACCATCTATTTACTGAGATGGTCAGGGCACTTATTAGGTCTTTATCACCCACCGACTACTTCGACGTGCAAGGATAGCTGGTGTAAGAGTGGGTTGAAAGGAAGCTAGGAACGTCCAAACCATGAAGATACTGACTAATAGACTGAGCGATGTTAACAGGTGTAGACTACGTGGTTGTGTTTCGTGTGATTATCGTAACCAATGATCAGTGACTTTGAATGTCGTGGCTCAAAATCATTTGCTATGGTGCAGGTGCATACATTCTTTGTCGTTTCCCGAGATTCTGAATTTTTCATAAACATTTTTGTCTCACTAATTTATATTTTCTTCTTGAATCTTATTTTAATGGTTGAATTCATGAGTCAATTGAAGGTAGACCACCATGGAAAACGTGAAAGCACTTGATGACCGTTTCGTCCCATTATACGACTCCTCAGTAGTGCGCATACACGATCCCGCCTGCGGGACTCGAATCCAGGACCTATCGGTCTAGCGCGCGAACACTTAACTTCTAGACCATTGGGCTGACATCTAACGGTGTTAATGTTTAACGTCAGCCAATTCACGAAATCGCGCCGTCGTCCACCATTTTCTTCAGTGAGTTACTATCTGACAACAGACCTGTTTGAACTCCGCTGTTCACGGCTTCTCACTAGAACTTCAGGAAATACCTCGTGAAGCCAGTCACTAATGACCACATAATGATTATCATGAGTACAGGGTTTTGTGGAGATTTCAGTAATTTAATTTAATTGAATCCATGAGTCAGTTGAAGCTGAACCACCATGGAAAATCTGGAAGCACTGGACGACCGTTCACACTAGTATTTTTAATGATAAAAAATATTTTTCGACTGATTTGATTTCAAAACTTTAATGTTTTAAAGAATGAAATTAATAGGTCTCATTTAAATATTTCTTTATATACTACGCACATCCTAGATTTATATTTGACGAATATTAATTATAGATGAATTGAAGGTGCAAAATAATGATAAACCCTTCCCTGCAAACATTTGCTCGTAATCTCAAACTATATTATGATAACTACATTCATTTAGGTATCAACTTAAAAATGGTTATTGGAAGTACTTGTCATTATATTTACATTAAATATAAGGTTCAATAAATCCTTGACATGAATACAAACGGATCATTTTCTGCTTATCAAAATATTTCAAAACATGATCTCAAACAACCTTCGACGAATTCAACTTCACAATTATGTCACAAACATGATAAAAAATTAATGTTGTTACTTTTCTGACAACTGAAAATGCAAGATTTTCAATTCATTCACCCTTTGAACTTTGTAATACTGTATGCGTATGTATGTAAACGCATACATGAAATATGTTACTGTACTACTGTTGTTAAGTTTCTGATGCACATCATAGAAAGAGACCAGTAGATCACTAAAAGACTAATAGTTTAAATGGATCTTTTTGATCCATTTCTTTGAATATGTATGAAAAACTAACATGAGTAAATGAATTATCTTCTGAAAGTGGGATTAAAACCCTTACTGAATACTTTTGTGTATTCTCTAACGTAGAAGAGTGCTCTGCTATCAGTTAAAAATATTCTCTTGTTTTTAATTGATGAAAAAGAACTTTACATTTAACTATTTTTTGCATTTTTAGATTTCACAACTGTTTTATCTTGTACACGTAACAACACTTTAGAAATTGTGGATTTACGTATGAACCAAGTTACACAATGCTTGAAAGCTGATGGTTTTCAAACAGGTTTAGATATAGTTCGACCATGCTTCTCACCTGACTCAGATTATGTAGCTGCTGGTGGACATGATGGTGGAGTTTATATTTGGAGCACAGTTTCAGGAAATTTAGAAATTTGTCTCCGTGACCATACGTATGTTTTGATTTCGAAAATTGTCATCTAAAATTAAATGTACTTTAAAAGTTGTGTAATCGCTGCTCAACTGACTTCTTTGTGTAACGGTTATCGATTTCTTTCTGTTTCCTCTTCACCAGTTCCTTTTTCATCCTTGGGATGCTTGAAGCCTGTTTATTTGATATAAACTACACACTCGAACCTCTTTAATAACGTTAAGGATAAAAAATCAAGTAGGTAGGAAAACAAGTATTATTCCATTATCTGATACAATCGATAGACTTCATTGAAGCCTTCATTTTCTTTTCCCTCAAGATACAGAATTATCATTTATTCATATTTTTTTCTTGGATAGCTCGATATTAAACAAATTCATTCTTATTTAACCGTCAGGTTTTAATCAATATGTTGTTTACAAAGCAACATATCATTAGTTCATATTACTATAAATAAATACAATTCACGACTCATCTTTGAGTATTTTCGTGAGGATACTAAGGGTTTGTTTTTTTGAAATTCTTCTAGTTTGAAGTTTGAATAAAAATACAATAATAAATGTTTAAATTATGTTATAAAATATAATAGATAATTGTAACGATTACTGTTTGTGGTGACTAAAAACTAAATACGAGGACTAAATGCTCAGAGTGAATTTTGTTTGACATCTGTTTTTTTAGAAATATCTACTTGAAATGTTTAAGGTACTTTCTTTACTTGTAATCATCATACTTGTAAAACCATGAAAGCTAAACTGATGGGAATGACAATTCAAATCGTATTGGTGCTGTGGAATCATATACAAAGAATATTGAGTTTGTGTTTTTTGAAAATCACTTCTCATGAGGACGTACGCTTTTAATTTTATAGTTCATTTATCAAGTACATGTATGTGTATATATCAGGCTTTAAGCCACACTTTCAATAAATTTAGTCAGTCAGTCAACTACAACGTAGGACCAGGCACATAGATTCATCGGTCCAGGCTGCTATACCGCATTACCACAGCAAGATAAACACCGGATTCATAGAGGTAGTTAAGTTAATGGTGGTAATGTATAAAAGAAAGATTGCATATAAGGATATAGTACAGGAAGTAAGAATTAGTACGTAGAAAGATATGAAACGATTTTAATCTCATAGTCAAGCTATTGGTTATATCTACTGTGTCATCTAATATTGCAAATTTACTGTTTCTCTAAATTTAATGTATATGAAATACCGGCATATGTGTATATAATATGATAGCAACTGTCTGAAAAAGTACACTTAAACGTTTGTCATCTCAAGTATGGCTATTGCGTTAAGTTTATTTCTACGTGAAAAGCGTGCATACTATGAGTACATTACAAATTCCCCAGCATTAAAACTAAAAAGAACACAGCACTGCGAAAAAGGTTGGTATTTAACAAAGAAAAAATCAAATGGAACAGCTTTTTATATATGATAAAAAAACATGACATTGAGACAGGAGTTTAGCAAACTGAAGGTTGTAACAATCAGTATTGAAAGAGCAAAAGTTATGCGAAAATATGAACTAAAATGTACTTGTTGTTATCTCTACAAGGAAGCACCAACACTTGTTCACAAAACTGAGTAGCATAGGAACCTCTTAGCAGTATGTATACCAGATATAGAAAAAAAACTGGACTACTCTTCCATCATTTAAAATTGTCGTATTGTTTCCAGTTATCTACAATCTACTTAAGTTAAATCTTGATATGGTTGTGCTTTCAATGCATCTTTTTCTGGAAGCCCAACCCATCAACTGTCTTTCGTTACTATAAGGAGTGTCTGCACTACTGATGTAAAGGAAGTAAACCCTACTTGTGTAATGTCACTTTTTCGGATGCGTTATCTTAAGCCTCTCAATACATTGGGATTTGAGGTGATGTTGAGACTAGCTATGCTTCATACTTAACTGGAATGCTCATATGTTTCAATAATGAGACCTCGTTGATTATTCATGTATACTTAAATTTCTTCACATTCATAATACGTATTAAATATATTTTAAATTTACATTTCGCACGCGAGTCTGTAAATCTACTATTTCGTCATGTCACTCACTTTAAACCCAGATGTTTTATTTCGTTTGTTTTATTTCAGAAATATTGTCGTTTGTTGTCATTGGAATCCGAATGGTAATTCTCTAGTTTCATGTGAACGTATTAAGAAAGCAATTGTCTGGTCTAGTTTGTAAAATTTCATTACTATGGTATTTATTTACTTACACATAGTCTTCCAGTAAACATTCTCTTTAATCCGGCTTTACATTAATCTTTTCAATGTTCGTTTGTTTTTGTCATGTTCTTTCTTACCAGATATTTTCCCTTCTTTCTCCTTCCATATTTCCTAATTTAAACACTATTTGTAATTTTTTATTACATACGTGATAATGGTTATAATAGGTTTCATTATATTTATAATTAATTATATCGACTTACGATTTATGTATAGTATTCGTAATTAATTTATGTATTAATTTACTTCTAATAAAAAAGATAATATTGAGCAAAATGCACTTCTTTTTTGTACCTCCCCAGGTATGAATGTCTGATATTCATACTACTGATTGTTTTATTCATTATTATGCTGTTACTTTCATTTTTAAAATAGGTAGTCAATGTTTCAACTTCTGTTAGTTTAATCCCATCATGCTAAATTGGTATGGCAACTTAACCCAACACACATTTGTAATAGTCTCTACATTGATTATGACTGTTTTAGCATCTAAAAGTATACAACTGTTTTTTTCTTGAGAGAAAAGAAACATATTTAGTCTTTTTTGATAATGTAAGTTTTATTCACATTTGAACAAGCCACTCAAATTCGACTAATGTATTAAATAATCCTACGAATTGTTATGAAATTAGCGTGTACCCTAGTAAAAGTCGTTCACTGTACTTATATGTGTGATAGTTAACAGTATGACTGAGTACAAGAAATCCAGAATAATCTTGAAGAACAAGCACCTCAGAATAGTAGGTATTATTTTTTAGGGCAAGATAATAAAATAAGAATTGTGGACCAATCATATCTATTCTTCTACTTAGCAATTGTTAATTTTATAATGTCCTGTGCAAACCAGATAAAAACCGTAATTCGGTCGCTTATCTTAAACGTTTGTACTACTCTTATGATTATTGACTGTAAGGTAAAGTACATGGTTCTTACATATAAACTGAAGCACACTTCAGTCATATTGACTGAAAAATATTCGGAAACTAATCATCTGAGTCACTTAAAAACCAGCACACATTTCAATTTAGAATATTCTCCCATCGGTTTTTGTTTGTCAAGCGAAATAGAATATGAAAATGGGTAACCAATCAAATGGTAAATAAGTAATTATGGTAAATGAATGCTTGAGAGATTTTCCCTGGATTCAAAAGTAGTGCAATTAGCGTTCGTTGAATAATAATAATTAAGTGATTATGATAGTTACCCATCGAAATGCATAACCTCTATCTATTTTAACCTAGTCACTTCAGCTTTACAGTCCAGTTCACTTATCATAGAAACTCGTAATCAGCCTAATAAATAGACTAAAAAACTGTAGGAATTTGTTTTGTTAAATATCGGGCTCGTTGCCTACAACAATTCATGTTTATTTATGAGTTAACAAATCAACGCGTCGGTGGTGACCTTCGCTATATTGGTAATCCATTCATTGTTTTCATCTAACTTATCACCTAACCTTGAGATATGGTTTGTTCGGTATAGAACTTGACGTTATTTATCAGTTACATTTTGCCGCTTACTAAATAGGTTACAGCCACAAAATATCCACAAATTCGAATTTAACGATGATTTGCAATCAATGACTCGTGACACTTATCTTCGTGATAAAATTTGGTAGAACTGTGAATTTGACTGATATAGTTGTACACTTTTGTGCTTTGTTATATGACTCACTTCTATAGTCACCGGAAACAATCTTCAATAGTGATGATAAATCGATCTATATGTGTACAATCGATTACTAATATTTATATGCGCAACCAATTTTCGAATTATTCTTAATCTGAAAATGATATAAGAATAATCCAGATTTGAACGATGACTAGTTTTTATCACTATCCGAAAAATATGTTCCAAATAACCCAAGCACAGTCTTTGATTGAATACAAAAAACATGAAGTACAATCTCATCAACTCGTAGGAGGATCACAAAATCCCAACCATGTCTGATAATTCTTGTGTATGATAGAAAATATTAACATTTAACTTAAATAACGTTTAATATAATTATAGATAACAAAACTTTAAAATTTTGTTATCATTTTCGTTTTAATCCTTTAGGTTTTATGATTAGTCACTAATACCTTTATTATAAAAATTCGTAACTCGACTATACAAGTAAAATACCACAATGTACTACAATTCGTATATCGTAATACATGCCTTACTAGCATATTTAAAATACTAAGCTGTGTAACACTCAGTTAATTAGTAATAAATTTTCAGCGATTAAAGTTATATAATCAATTGATGTATTAAAAGATAGCTCAATATTAAGGATATTTGATTCAACCTTAAGTAACCATCTAATAAATAAAATATAGCTCGTTAAATATTAATTAAAATTTTATATTTTCCTTTTCTCAAGAATTTTCAACATGAACCGTATGAATGCTAATTTTTCCCTTAGTTATTCTAATTCTCAGCCAATATTTAGTTTTCAAAATTGTATACATTTTCACGTTCAAATAATACTAGATAAATAGAAGTTGTTTAGATGCACTGAATATTATTGTGTTTTTTTTAAAAGAAATGCTCTTTGAATAGGAAACCATCTTAAATAGTCTATATGTTGGCTTACTTTCGGATAAAATTTTTAATTATTACTTGTTACTGATCCACAAATAAGTAACAAGAATAAGATGAAAAAATATTTTTATGTGTACTGCTTTATATTATTTATATCTTTATTTGAAATGAATCACCACTCCAATCCACTTTGATTATTTATTATTTTAAATTTATGCTAAATTTTTTAAGCATTTGACGACCTTTTGAATTATCGTGAATTCATAAGCAAAGATGAATAGTGGCTAGCAGTAGAATCCAGGATGCGCTTTTCATTCTATTTTGGACTCGTCAACTGGATTGATTTGCACTTTGGGACTTGAACCCAGTACCGTTCGTTTAAAACGCCATCGCGTTATCCACTTAGCTACTAAATCCTGATAGCACTTTGCTTGCGCAATGGGGTGAAGTTTAAATTCACTTGGTATTGTTTACTTGAATCTTCCCATTGATGATTAGGACTGCAATTGATCAGTCTCTTATTAGCATATGTGCATACTGTGTGTATTGCTTTGATATTGCCTTATCCATTTTTGCTTTTATATATATATATATATATATATATATATATATTCACGTTAAGTAGCTCCTACTGCAAGAAAATGACTCAAATCTGACGTTTTTCAAGTAACAGCTTTCCAGCAACCATTCTGCCTTCAAAATGGAAGCATATTTAAAACACCAACTATTCATTTCCTTTAACAATAACAAAAACTTGAAAATGATCATCTTTCATAAAATCGTTGATAATTCATGTATGTTAGTGATAAACTTTGTTATTGTTCTAATTAATCTTTTCTACACATTTCTAGCGAGAATGCCTACTGGAGATAAACAACCGGAAAAGCATAAGAAAGAGTCTATAATTGATTTAAACAAGTATATAGATAAGAGAATCCGTGTCAAATTTTCAGGTGGACGGGAAGCTGTTGGTATCTTAAAAGGATGCGATAATTTACAGAATATGGTGATTGATTGTACTACTGAATTTCTTCGTGATCCAGATGATCCTCATCGTTTGACTGAAGATACAAGAGAACTTGCCCTTGTGGTTTGTAGGTTAGTTTTAGTGTTTAGTTCTATAAGAAATTGCTCCAAACTATTAATCGTCATCTGTTATTCTTACTTAGTATTTAAAGTCTCTATTCTTTGATTACGTAATTTTTTTCTCGGAAATAAGAATTTCTGCTACTGTTTAGTTGTTGCTAAACCTTAGTGTTTGATCATAAATTCTTAATATTTAAGTGTACTAAATACATCAATACTGACTTACGTTGTGTAACATCAAAACTCTTGAAAAAACTACGGTAATTTGTTAAAGTTCAGAGAACATCAAATGATTGCTTTTTTTTCAGGTTCACAAATCCATCTTCAAACCTACTGTCCTATATTAATTATTTAACTTGAATCAGTAGTTTTCAAAAATGAAGCAGTCGAAAGGAAAGTTATATTCATGTCTTGTCACAAGAATTTCAAATAATGTTCTCTTGAAAACTAGTTAGTTACATTCATTACAATAACTAGATAGTCTTTCTTATGCTAACAACAATCTCTCTAAAGCTGTCATGAATTCACTTGATTTATACGTGGATATCTTATGTAAAATTATATGCTACAACTATCTTATTAAACTTCACATCAAAAGCTAACCGAAGAATGCTGAATCAATATTATTTATAATTAGGAAATTAATGCTACAATGCCCTGTATCATATGAAAATGATCTCTTGTTGAGTAATAATCGTTTACAGTGTTTAATTGTGTTCGTTTAGTAATTAGCTAAACTGTGGTCAAAAAGTAAGGAGTCCTGAAGTTCTAATCTGTATTTCGATGTTCATGAAACTACTTGTTCTTTAATAATTCAGCTCATTACTGTTATATAATTTTTGAAAAACTTATTCCTCTGCAGTACTACTCTGTGATGGAATGCATATACATAAAATTCCTCACTTAAAACTGATCACTTTTTCGGCTAAGCTGACACGCAAAGAGTTATTTTACATGTACTGATTCCAAGGTATATTAATAAAATTAAAGAGTACTGGCGTACGTCATCAAGGTATCTGATACATAGTGCATTTAACCTATTATATATATATATAAGAAAAGCTATTGCGTTCGAAAATTTTCGTGAATTTACAAAGATAATACCGACTGGAAAGTGATTTTGATTTTCATATTGATTCAAGAGGATAATTTTTATACTAACCAACTGAAGTGTTTATTTTTAATCATTTTATTGTCTTTTTCGAATCAGTTTCCAAGCAGCAGTTTTTCTAATCTTCTATTATTCTTATTGAAATGGTTTTATACCGAATAAAATTCATGTAACATTGGAAGTTATTTTAAAGTCTAAACTTTTGAATGAACCATGCCCTTCTTTCTATATAATTACATAAAGAGTTATTATAATTAATAATCACAATCTCTTCTAATTTTTTTCGTCTTTTACAGGGGTCCATCCGTGGAACTTGTTTGTCCTGCAGATGGAATGGAATCTATACCTAATCCATTTGTTCAACAAGAATGATTCGGAAAAAACTTATTTATTTTATATGATATAAATAAATTTGTAAAATATTCCCGCCTTCTCTCTCATTGTAACTGTACGTCACATAAGCTTCTTCATGTCATTAGCTATTAATTTTTTACTAAATATGTATATTTAAAAAAATACATTATCTTTCTACAAAAGTCATATTTTCCATAGACTTTTGGCGTATGTTAATCCTTCGAGAAAAGGACTATCAGACAGACTTATTAGACCGTGTAGTAAAAAATAAATAGTCAGTATAAAGTTTCCCAGGAATATTAAAACTTCAAAGATCAACCAGTTTGTTTCTGACAACATTTTTTACTAAATCAGGTTTCCTTTTGGTGTGAGAGCCAAATTAATTCTGTAGTCGCAATTGTAATCTTACCTCCAGAAATAGTAGCTAAGTAAGGAACAAATGCACTCTATATATGACCGCATAACAGTTATATATCTGACTAAATAGAAACTATCAAGTGTTATAGCATTAAATATGAACTAATAATCTAGCAGAATAGATTATGTAGATGTTCATATACATTGTGGGAAAAGGCACTTATTTTTGTGAACTTGAAAGTAGTTCGCCAGTATAACGAACATAAGTAGATGCTTATCAAGGAATGTAAGTGGGAGTCTGTTGTGTTCAGTGTATTCAACGAAATGTACAGACTCTATAAATCCTTGCAGTAAATTAGTTCAGCTCACAGTTGCTCAATATTTGCAGCAGTGTCTAAATAATATAAAATGTGCGATGTATTCTAAGTCAGAGCTAATACTTTTAGTGTATTTACTCATATTTATTACTTCAGATGTTTTATCATTCTTAGGTTCTACCTTACAAAATGTATTCTACAGGCTTGAAAATAGTAGCTCCAGTCTTTCAATTAATATGCTTGAATACGATAAAAATTCCACTGAATTTGCTAGCAATGTTTCACCGGTTGGTCCCATGTTTATACTCGCCAATATCATAATTAGTAATTTGTATAATAACGTGATAATTACAAGTATTCAAACTGATTTTCTAACTAAGAATTCCCGAACTAGTGCAATTTTAGGCAAGTAGAAATAAAGAAGCATAACTTAAGATATTATTTTTGGGATTCGTGAAAAGCGCGCACTCAAGTACAGAGGAATTACCAATTAGTTCAAATACCACAGTAAGATACGATAAATTAATAAATTTCACAGTGTTAATGGATTCAATAAAACAACTAATACTGATAAAATCACTTGAATCTGTAAAATTAACATATATAAGCATATTGGATAATAATCATAATCCATGGTAATATTTATTTTAATGACTGAAAGTACTCATGGTGTATGTGAGCATAATTATTTTTGATAATTTTCTACTGTAAATGTTCATATAAAGAAAGACTACAAGGCAATCACAAATATATCTGTAAGTGAATGAAAATTATTTGAGCGAAATTCGTACTTTAGAACAAGATAGTAGCCTGCTCAATTATATTATTATTATGATCAATATTTCCGTTTCATTAATTTAATACCTAAGTAAAACCCATATGTTAAGGAATTCGTAAGGACTACCAATCATGCTAATCTTAAATTAGAAAAGGTCATATAAACACTAAAAGGGGCGTTTCATTAAGATCACCTTAAATTACCGTCTGTCATATAGCCGTAAGCAAGTGTCTTCAGCAGTCTGATTTATTTTGGTGGCGTACTTTCCAACTAGAAACGATATCTACAACAACAATTACATATCAAGTAATATACCCAATATTGGTAAAAGTGTCGATTCATTTTCCTATCATAAAACCTGCAGGATACCCTAATTACCCAGTATTTCCTCAATACTTGAACGAGGTAAGATTGATAAATGCAGAAATTCATCCTTTAACATATAAACATGAATACACGCTTATGTTGTATATCCCCATCAACATTCGGGTGAAAAACATCATCTATTGTTAACGAGTACCATGTATATGCAATTGACGCTCCACTGTTTTTTAGATTATGCGAATAATAATTCTTAAGACAGCTGTATATTTCATTCTGAATGCTCAGCTTGTCCAACTCAGGTTACAATATAATTTAGAAGTTTGATAGTTAATCAATACTTATTTTGATGACACGTCTACGTGATTCACAATTTTTTAAAGTGTTAATCATCTTGACGCATTTACCTAAAACCCCCATATATCGCAAATTTATCTGTTTGTTTAGTTTGCAGCCTCTAGATGGTTACTTCCTCATTGTGTATATTAGTGGTGTCTCTAGCTCACTTGTTCTGGAACTATGCACGGAATTTAGTACTCAGCTTTGTGCAAAGTTTGCACCGTGGTACTGATCTTGGAATGAATAGAATTAGTGGGAGTTTTTTATCCTTGGTATACGTACAACACTATTTTGGTGTGAAATAGCACACAGATTGATCTTGACCATTAAGGATTAGAACCTATGATGGTAAGTTATGTTTCGGACTATTAAAGCATTTTTGTAATATTGTTGTTGTTATGCCACTCTTTATACTGAGTAGCATCAAAAACATTTCAGTTGATATATATAATAGTTATCAAACGTTGTTATAATCTGCATGAGACATGAAATAGTTCCCACGAATCCCCATACTAATAATAATTATGTACTCAATAGTGACTAGTTTCGAGATGGATTTCCTGGGGTTCTAGTGAGAATCCCTGACCAATGGAGTCCAATCTGTGTCGAGTAGAGACAGGTATCTACCTCTGATAATGGATTAATGGTTTCGTAAGATCATTAGTCGATTGAATTTAGACATTAACACCATTAGATGCAGGCTCAGTGGTCTAGAATTTGAGCGCTCACGCGCTAAACAGAAAGTCCTGGGTTCAATTCCCGAATTCGGGATCATGGATGCGCACTGCTGAGAAATCTCGTACTAGGATGAAACGACCGTCCAGTGATTCCAAGTTTACAACGGTGGTCTAAGTTACATCAACTCATGAATTCAACTATTAAAAGCATTACAATCTCCGAAAACCCCCATTCTAATAATAACTTATGAAATATACAATTATAATGAACAGGTTTTATCGACTGAATTAATTAGGAAGAGATATTGCAGTACATAGCTAAATTCTTCACTTGATTGTAAAATAAGGTAATTACAGATTGAAATTACCTAATATATAATACTTACCTACAATCGCATCACCATATTAAATACTTTATAATATTCCATCAAATTGAACTGAATTTTAATAAACACGGCAGTAGAACTTTTATATTAGTTATCACATATTTTGCTTAAAATACTGAACTTTAATAAGTGTTAATGTGGTCAGTGTCAATAGAATTTTAGTCTAATATATCATGTGTATTTTATTAAAAACACTTAGTTGTATGAAATGAGGCCAACAGTAATTTTTGATAAGTTTTATTGTGTGAATAAACCAAATATTTTTGATATGTACTAAAAGCTGTGACTTTTTCTACAAAAAATCATTATTAACTCAGCAATTACATTGAGTTCGTCTATTATATGTTATTTTAGAGTTCCACTTGTTAGATTTTTCTTTAAGTGACCAATAAATCCTACTGTAAATAATGATATATTCAGTGAAGACTAAAAGTGGAAAAATATCTGGGTCACAATGGAACACAGTATATTGAGTCATAGTTGGAACTTTTTCACTTAAGTCTAGCTAACAGATTTAATTGCAAATTTAATATCGACCTTATTTCAGTCACTGATCATTGTGTCTAGGATTTTTTTTCTGCTCGATGTATATAACCACGTATCAATAAATATGTTGAATATTTAATTCTATTTTAAATATTGGCCAACTTTCTACCTAATCACCTGTTTGAGTGTTTGCTTCCCATTTCGATTGAAACATTTAATATACAGTTAAATGTTACAACTGTCAAAGATGTCACTTTTTTAATAAAGTAAACGTAACAGAACATCTGATCAGGGACCAATGGTTAAACTTTTTTAAGGTTTTTTCTCTTAAATCCAGTTATTTTTGTATACTACTTAATATTATCAGTTAGCATTACCTTAGAAATTTAATTAACAATTCGAAAACACTGGTCATTCAACAATCGATTTAGTCTTTTCTTTTATGATTATAACTTTTCATTTAGAATTAACGAATAATCGAATTGTCACGTCAGATAAACCAAAAAGCTTTAGTTAAACAACCTAAACAACTTAATAATGAACTTCACACAAAATAATCTGTATGAGTCATATTTCCTATATCATTTGCCCCCAAATGCCCTGGTACGGCCGGGAGTGGGGAGAGTCCGCTCTCCTTCTAGAAATGCTCTCACATGGACACACGTATATAGCCTCTGTCAGGGAAGTCCTACTCACTGCCTTCTCGTGACAATGGTGTTGTTTACGAAAATGAGAAGACGAAAAGCGAACGTTCGACACTAACCGGGTTGGTGGACATGAAGAGTCCACCTAGGGAAGTTGGAAAACCCTGATTCCAAACCAATGGTGCCCATAGGCTCCAGTATCCTGAAGGAACAAATGGCGTATAAACCAATCGTTGGTCACCGGCTACCATGAGATTGCATCTCCTTATGATGCTCCACTGCCTTGTGGATCAGATCTTCCGGTCGAAGGCTGCGGGTGTGGCCTCCTAGGAAAACCACCTGCTTCGGTTTGGGCACCCATGTAGTATCACAGCCCTCATACATATCAAATGAGATTTCTGTGGCGCATATGTATTTGGTGCCTCCTTGTACCAATATCTGTGTTAAAATAAATAAATAAAATAAATAAATCTTATATCATTCAGTTAATTTAACATAAGATTTTTTAATATAGGACTATGTAATTAAGATGAATTACTTTGCTAAATATCTTCATTTTCACCTATCTCTACTGAAAATTTACTGGCTCTAAAATTACCATTTGCTAAGATCTTACGTTATATAATTATGATTTACAAATTCCTTCGACAAACTAAAAAACTTACTGACTGAGTAGAGGAAGTATAACGCTCCTTCATTAGATTACCGTAAATGAAAAACCGAGTATAATCTGATGGTCGAATGAAAGTATTTTAAAATCAAGCATTCAGATTTAATTGAATTCATACCATATATAAATTATTTTCCCAATATATTGGATTTTGACGTTTAAAAACTAAACATGCACATAAGATTATATATTTTCTGTCTTTA